AAAAAAAAAAAAAAAGCAAAAGAAAACAAATGAAACAAATGTAGGGCTGGGGATTTAGCTCAGTGGTTCCACTGCCTGCCTCACAAGTTCAAGGTCCTGAGTTTCATCCCTTGTACCAAAAAAACAAAACAAAAATTCTTACAAAACATGGAGCCTAGTGGCATGTAAGGAATGAGGGAATTCATGTGTGAATCTAACATACTGCAACATAAGGAAGACAATTACCCAATTTACAGTGTCATTCTATTGCTTACCTAAATGTATAAAATTATGTGACCACAACATTCAGAAAAGAGAACTTAAAATTTTTAATCCAGAAATCCACTTTAACCCTGAGCTCATGATATACATGCACTTTAGGACATCTGTTCTGGTTGTGCATTTTCTGGAGAAATAATTGACATTTAATTTTTTAGGTGCATATGACATGAGAAGTGATCAAAGGCTTTGGAAAATGAGTTATGAGAACTCTGTACGCTGACAGGTGCTTCAGAAAATATTCACTGTTTCAGGCAGGACAACTGATAATTTGTGTACTTCCCTCATACTGATTTCTCACAATACTGTGTATTTGCACTGTCAATTAAACCAAAATGACCACAGGTGTTCCCGCATAATATGCATTGATATGAATTTCTCCACTGTGCAACGCAGTGTCATGAAGTGATGGAAAAATGATTTCTCATATTCTTTATACTAACACCCACGAATCTGTACATTTTCTGATGTTATGGGAAAAACACAATGCTGTCTGACATTATTTCTACAGGGTTTCTCTTTAGTAGGAGTTCTTTCATGTATTTCAAGGTAAGCAGAATTGAAGGTTTCCATCTATCTTTCCCTTTCGTGTTAATTCTTACATGTATGAGGCAACTGGGTTGGGGATTTAGCTCAGTGGTTCTGCTGCCTGCCTTGCAAGCATAATGACCTGAGTTCAATCCCCGGTACCATAAAAAAACCACAAACCATGTATGAGGCAATTGAAAATATTTCTACATTGCTCACACAGATTTCTACTCTCTTCACTATGAAATCTTACATGTATGTAACATCTCTATAGACTCACAGGTTTTACACCATCTACTTGAAAAGATTTTCCCCAGGCACATTCATGTCAGTGTAAGTGACTTTATGTATTCAATTATTTTACTCCCCCATTACTGTGCACGATGCTTGCTTCAGTGAAGCTTTTCATGATTAGTCTTCCTCACAAGTGTAATTTCTTTCATGTATTTGACAATTTGTCTGTGTATTGAATGCAGTCACCCAGTGCTTAGTGATTCAATGGAGTATGATCTTTCATGTTTTTGACAATTATCATATAAGCTGAAAGCTTTCCACAACTGTTTATATAGAGAGGGTTTCTCTCCAGTGTCACATACACATGGTATTTGACAGAAACCATGTGTGTTGAAAGTTTTCCCACAGTGATTACATAGATATGGTTCCTCCTCACTGTGAGGCCATTCATGTCTTGGAAAAACAAGTGTTGCTAGCAGCTGTCCCACATTCCTTACATACACAGGGTTTCTCCCCAGTGTGAAACCATTCATGTTTTACAAGCAGCACATGTTCTAAAAGCTTCCCCACATTTCCTACATACATAGGTTTCTCCCCAGTGAGTACATTTGTGTAGTCTACAAGCACCACATGTGTTGAGTTCCCACATTGCTCACATATGTAGGGCTTCTCCCCTGTGTGAATCTGTTCATGTGTTTGACAAACAGCACGTGTTCTGAAATCTTTTCCACATTGCCTACATACATAGGGCTTCTTCCCCAGTATGAGTGCGTTCATGCCGTGTACAAGCACCATGTGTGTTGAAAGCATCCCCACATTGCTTACATACATAAAGTTTCTCCCCAGTGTGAGTCTTTTCATGTATTTGCCAACTCTCTCGTCTACTGAAAGCCTTCCCACATTGTGTACATACATAGGGTTTCTCCATGGTGTGAGTCCATTCATGTCTTTGACAATAACTGTGTGTGCTGAAAGCTTTCCCACACTGTTTACATACATAGGGTTTCTCACCTGTGTGAATTCGTTCATGTATTTTACAAACTGTATGTGTTCTGAAAGCTTTTCCACATTGCCTACATACATATGGTTTCTCCCCAGTGTGAGTGCATTTGTGTAGTGTATAACCACCATGTGTATGGAAAGCTTTCCCACATTGCTCACATACATAGGGTTTCTCACCTGTGTGAATCTGTTCATGTGTTT